CCCCAAAACCCCAAAACCCCAAAACCCCAAAACCCCTTAGTGAAGAAAATGAATTGATTCAATTAGAAAATATTTTAGAAAAATGGAAAATCTAGCTGAGGATGTTACAAATGATGCCTATGAAAGAGTACCTGTCGAAGATTTTGGTAAGAATATCATCAAAGGACTTGGATGGAAAGAAGGAGAAGCAATTGGTAAGAATAGCAATGGACTAGCGAAGCCAATCCAGTATTTATCCAGACAGAAAGGGCTAGGACTTGGAGCAACTCCTCTCAATAAAGCTCAGATCAAAGGGATGAAGAACCTTGGTAAAGATATGTCTGGAAAAAGAGCCGCTGACGCTGCGTATACCGGAGGACAGCACTCAAAGAACTTTATCACTACTGATGAGAAAATGAAAGTTGAAGAAGTTCTAAAAGTTGGATCAAAAGTATATATCTATAAAGGCCAGCACAAAGGATTGCTCGGAATCGTCACTAAAATGTACACACCTCAAGAATCAGGGATAGTAAATGGCAAAGAGGAGGATCGTACCGAACTCACTGTTGAGCTAGACATTAGCCATACCGAAGTTGTCGTTAAAATGAACAAAGTTGTTCTGGAAAGCAAAAGAAAAGAATTGCAAGAGCGAGGCATAATTGCTAAAGAAGAAACCAAGGATTCAGAAATGGACTCAGAAGTATCAGACAAATCTTCTAGTAGGTCAAGTAGTGTTGAAAGTAACAAAAAGAAAAGGTATTTTGATCATTTTAATATTTTTAGCAAGAAGAAATCAAAGAAGAGTAAGAAGAGTAAGCATAAATCAAAGAAAAAGAAGCGGAAGAGATCTAGTAGTAGTGACGGTAGTCGCACTAAGAGGCGGCATAAGAAAGACAACAGAAAAAGGATTAAATGGGTCATGCCAGGAATTATTGTAAGAGTGGTCTCTCAAAAATACATGGGTGGGAAACTTTACAATACTAAAGTAGCTGTTCAACAAGTCAATGGTCCTGATGATATTGTAGTCTTAAAAGATAACAAAGAAATTTTTGAAGGCCTCTCTGAGCGATATCTCGAAACTATTATGCCCAAGCTTCAAGAGGATGTCAGAGTAGTCAAAGGAGATTATAGAGGAAACACAGGAAAGCTATTAGAGAGAGATAAAAAGAAGAATAAAGTGAGACTTATGCTAAATAACACTACTTTCGATATTGTTGAAATGACTCAAGATGACTGATGCAAATTATCTTAATTTTTAATCACAGGCCAAAATTTTGGTTGAAAAAAATAATGCTTCAATCTTTCCAATATTTCAGGGGTTTTGGGGTTTTGGGGTTTTGGGGTTTTGGGGTTTTGAGAATGAAGAGGGTAGAGATGGTGTTTTGG